CAAGCCTTTCTCCTCACAAAATGCCTTTTCCTAGACATGAGGCCTTTGGCACTTGAGGCTCCACTAGCCAGAGTCTAGTTCAAGTGTGCCCAGAAGTTGGAATCTAGGTCTTTGTCTCAGAAGAACAGGTATGGCCCTGGCGGGTGTGGCTCAGTGGACTGAGCGCCGGCCTGCAAACCAAAGGATCACTGGTTTGGTTCCCAGTCAGGGCACAGGCCTGGGTTGCAGGTCAGCTCCCTAGTAGAGGGCACATGAAAGGCAACCACACATTGATGTTTCTCTCCTTCTCTTTCTCCCTCCCTTCCCCTCTGTCTAAAAATAAATAAATAAAATCTAAAAAAGAAGAAAAGGAGGGGTAGGTTGGGGGGGGAGGGGAGGAGGAGGAGGGGGCGGGGGAGGAGGTATGAACCAGAAACAAAGCCTTTAGCCTAGACACTGAGGAACAGAGTGAAGAAATAAAATGAAGTAATCACACATTAGGTGACAAAACAAGCCTCAGTAAATTCAAGATACTTTTCAGTATCAAACATCTCTTCTGATCAGTTTCATGAAATTAGAAATGAACTACAGGAAGAACCCCGGAAACCACAAAAAACATCTGGAGACTAAACAACATGCTACGAAACACCAAATGGATCAAAGAGGAAATCAACAACCTTGAGACAAATGAACACAAAAACATAACTTTTCAAAGTTTATGGGACGCAGCAACAGCAGTTTTAACAGGGAAGTTCACAGCTGTATAGGCCGACATCAGAAAATAAGAGGCCTGATCGGTGCGGTGCAGGTGGCTGGGTGGCCCCGCAAGGAGAAAGGTCCCCGGTCAGATCCTGGTCGGGCGCAGGCCTCGATCCAGGCTGGGGACGCACAAGAGACGGCTTCCCTCCCTCTCCTTCTCCTTCCCATGCCCTCTCCCTGAGAATAAATACATATTCAGAAAAAAAATCCCAAACGAACAATCTCTAACTTTACAACTAAAGAAACTAGAAAAAGAAGGACAAAGAAAACCCAAAATAGGCAGAAGGGAAGAAATAATTAAGATCAGAGCGGTAATAAACAAAATAGAAATTAAAAAACAAAAACAGAAAACACCACATAACAGAAAAGACCAATTAAGTTAAGAGCTGGAAAAAGGGAAAAGGACCATGGACGTGGACAACAGTGTGGTGACTGCGGGGCGGGGGGTGTAAGGGGTTAAATGGTGATGCAAAAATACAAATGGAAAATCAGTCAATCAATCAATCAAGAGGTGGTTCTTTAAAATGATAAAACAAAACTGAAAAACCTTAGCTACGCTCCTCAAAAAACAGAGATACCAAATAAATAACAGCACAAATGAAAGAGAGGTTACAACAGGAATACAAGGAATCATTAAAGAGTACTACAAACAATCAAATGCAAATTCAACAATCTGGAAGAAATGGATAAATTTCTAGAAGCATACAACCTTCCAAGACTTCCAAGACTGATCCAAGAAGAGACAGAAAGCCTAAACAGACTGGTGACAGGCCATGAAAATGAGGCAGTAATTAAAAAACTCCCAACAAATAAAGTGCAGGGCAGGTGGCTTTCCAGGTGAATTCCATCAAACACTTAAAAGATAATTAACACGCACCCTCTTAAATCACTTCAAAAAATGAGGGAGGAAGAAGCACTTGCACACTCATTCCACAAGGCCAGCACTGCTCTGACACCAAAACCAGACAAAGACATCACAACAAAAGAAAAGTACAGGCCACTGACCTCGGTGAACACAGCCGTAAAAATTCGTAACAAAACACGAGCAAAACCCGGTCAACACCCCATTAAAAGGATTATACACCATGACTCAGTGAGGTTTATCTCAGGGATGCAAGGATGGTCCAACACCCGTAAAGCAACCAATGTGATACCTCACAGTAACAAAACGGAGAAAAATCACACGATCATCTCCAAAACACAGAAAAAGCACCTGACAAAATCCAACTTCCCTTTATGGTAAAAATGCTCAAGAAGTGGGTATAAATGGAACACACCTCAGCATAATAAAGGCCATACATGACAAAACCACGGATCACGTAATGCTCACTGGTGAAAAGCTGGAAGTTTTTCCTCTAAGATCAGGAGAGAGAGAAATAAAAGGCAGCCGAAGAGAAAAGAAGTGAAACTCACTGTTCGCAGCTGATATGATGCTGTATGTAGAAAAGGCTCCACCAGAAAACTGTGAGAGCTAACGAGTGAATTCAGACAACTTGCAGGATGCAGAAGTCAACATACAGAAGTCTGCCGTGTTTCCATACACCAATAACAAGTGATCACAAGGAGAAATTCAGAAAACAAGCCTAGTTACAATGGAATCAAAAACAATAAAATACCTAGGAATAAATTTAATCAAAGACGTGGAAGACCGGCAACTCTGAAGACTTTCGGGCACTGAAAAAAGAAACCGAAGAAGACACAAATAAATGCAAGGAGGATTAATATGGCTGAAATGCCCTTACTACCTGAAGCCACACAGATTCAAAGCAACACCTGTTAAGATACCCGTGGTACTCTTCTCAAAACTAGAACAACTAATCCTAGAGTTTATATGGAACTGCAAAAGCCCCCAAACAGCCAGAGAAACAATGAGAAAGAACACAGTGGGAGGTATCACGCTCCCTGATGTGCAACAAAGCTACAGTGGTCGAAAGGGTCTGGTGCCGGTGTAAAGGCAGATGTATAAATCAATGGAATGAGAGAGAGCCCCGCAGTCCGCCCTCACTTACACGCGGCCAGTGAACCTATGGGAAGGAGGCAAGGACACACAATGGGGTGGAGACGGTCCCTTCAGTAAGTGGCGCTGGGAAAACTGGACAGAGACGTGCAAAAAAGGGAAACCGAACCACTTTCTCACACCACATACAAAAATAAACTCAAAATGGATTAAGTCCTTAAATGTAAGACATGAAACCATGAAACTCCAAGAGGAAAACATAGGCAGTAGACTCTTTGACATCGGTCTTAACGCTCTCTTTCTGGGGATGTCTCCTCAGGCAAGGGCAGCAACAAGAAACACAAGTGGGACTACCACGAACTAAAAAGCTTCTGCACAGCAAAGGGAACCACCAACAAAACAAGAAGACAACATACGGGCCCTGGCCGGGTGGCTCAGTTGCTGGGAGCATCTTCTCGCATGCACGCACAAAAAAGGTTGCGGGTTCGATCCCCAGTCGGGGCACAGGCCAAGGTTGCAGGCTCTATCCCCGGAGCCAGAACAGGCACTTCTTCAAAGAGGACATACAGATGCTCAGCAGATGTGAAAAGATGCTCGACATCACTAACCATCGGGGGAAATCAACTCAAAGCCACCGTGAGGCATCGCCTCACTCCTGTCAGAATGACTCTCATCAAAAAGTCAACAAACACCAAGTGCTGGTGAGGATGGAGAAAAGAAAACCCTCACGCACTCTTGGTGGGGTCGTAAATTGGTGCAGCCAATGTGGAAAACAGTTTGGAGGTTCCTCAGGAAATTAAAAACAGGACTACCTTCTGGCCACATCTGGGTATTTATCTGAGGAAAACAAAAACACGAACTTGAAAACATATATGCACCCGTATGTTCGTTGCAGCATTATTTACAATAGCTAAGATACAGAAACAAGCATACGGCTGGATATTATTCAGCAATAAAAGAGAATGAAACCTTGACATTTGCCCCAACATGGATGGACCAGAGGGTATCCTGCTAAGTGAATAAGTCAGAGAAAGAGAGATAAACACTGAATGATCTCACTGATGTGTGGAATTTAGGAAAGCAAAATAAATGAATAAACAAAACAGAAAACGACCCACAGATATAGTAAACAAGCTGATGATTACCAAAGGGGAGGGAGATGGGTCCAAAAAAGAGAAAAAAAGAACGAAATATCCCCAAAACAAAAAAGTAAACAAAATGGAGTCACTGTAAGCAAGCTGCTAAATTATTAAAATCAAGTAGCTTGAAACATGAGAAAACAATTCTATTCTTAACTATTCTGGGAACTTGACCTTTTGAACTTTCCAGTCCTGTGTCATTGCCTGGATATACATCAGTTTCTTGCGTATCAATACCTGGCTACACACCAGATCTGCAGGTACCCGCCTGTTATTCCCTCCCAAGGGCTCCGTGTCCAGACCACCCGACCTGACCGGACCTCCTGCCGCTGGCACCTGTTCCCTAGACTACCTGGTGCCCATCATCCAGACCACTGACCTCGGACTGACAACTGTCCTGGGTAGATCTTACCGCGTCTTTGACTCTTCCGGATCCCCGTGGCCATGGCTTGACCTGCTCCACATCAGCAGGCCTGTACTTCTAAGGGCAGGGTTCTCCTAAGCCAGACACCAACCCTTTACCCCGGAACCTGTAACGCTTAAGGCCGTTATCCAGAACAGCAAGCCTTCACGACAAAACCAGAGCCCTGGCCTGGTCACCAAGAGGTTACTTCAAACACCACACCGCTCAGGCTTCGACTAGTCCAACGTCCCTCCTCTCCCGCTCCCTGCGCGCTCCCATCTCCGCCCCAGGCCCGGACACCGGACCCGCAGCCTTCACAGCAGCGCTCTGCTCAGGCCCCCCGGGCCCGGGCGCCAGACGGTTACTCCTCGCTAGCGTGGTCTGCACATCGCCACACGGCCTTGGCCCGTCAGATTCCTCCCGTCCTTGGGCAGACGTAGCTCTGGCTCGGATCCCGGGGGGAGGTCAGGCCCCGACCCCTGAGGCATCCAGGCGCTGTGTCCCTACGCGGGCCCCCCGCCCCCAGGCCCGCAGCGGACTCACAAAGACAAGGTCCGGCCGCTCCTGCCGCGAAAGTCGCGCCATGACCACCATTTTCCTGGTTCTCCAGCTACAGCAGGAGTCGCGTTACAATGACTTCTCCTTCTACAGGCCCGCCCCCCGGGCCAGGTTCACTTCCTATTGGCTGACCCCGTGCCGAGCGTGCACGCCCCGCCCGGGCTTCCGCCTAGACCTCGCCAGCGACCGGAGGAGCCCGGAGATGATGTCATCCAGGGGCTCCGCGGCCAATCAGCTTCAGGGGTCGACCCCATGGATTCCCAGTGAGCTGCTGTCGTTTTGGAGGGTTGGCTTGGGACAGAAGCGGCCGTGTAGCCTGGGAGAAACAAGATGGGGGTGAAGTTGGAGGTGTTTCGGGTCAGTGGGCACCCGAGCGAGTGGGCAGGGGCGTCCTCCGGGATCTGAGGCGCAGGCTCTGAATAGGGAGAAAGGTCCTGAGATTTGAGAAGGACCTTTAGGGTTCGACGCCCCGAGGAGGGGGCGCCGGGAATAGCGGCCCTGGGTGTGAGGAACGGCCTGTGATTAGGGTGGTTTGAGGAGGGGCTCTAAGAAGAACCTAGACTCTGGGGAGGCTCTTGGGCTTAGGGTGCGTGGGCGTGTGTCTCTGGTAGAGGGCCTCCTAGCCTAGGGGAGTAGACTCTGAAGAACGCGGGGTTTGGAGTGCCCCCGGGATCTAACATTGGGACAGGGGCAATGAGGCCTCAAAGAGATGCCTGTGATTGCAGTAGGAGCCCTTGTCCTCCTGGGCCTAGGGTGTGTGCGGGCGTGTGTGTGTCATATAAGAGGGAGTCCCCCAGACTCGGAGGGAGCTCCGGAAATAAGGTCTCTCGGATTAGGAGCGCCAGACTCCCCTAATCCTGGGGTTCTGGGGGGGCGGCCCTGAGGAGGCGCTCCTGGGCTGTGCCCAGCAACCTGGGCTCCTGGCTTCGAGCAACCTCCGCTCCCCCTCCCCCTTCCAGATGACACTCTACCTCACCTTCCCTGTGGCTATGTTTTGGATTGCCAATCAGGCCGAGTGGTTTGAGGACTACGTCATACAGCGGAAGGTGGGCCCGGGGAGAGTTTTCACGGGTTCACTGCAGAGGATGGGGGCGGGCACGGGGCACCAGTGTCTGCCTTCCATGAGCAGACCTGCCTAGGTAGCTCCTGGTTCATCTGTGACTTTATCCCTGCAGAGGGAGCTGTGGCCACCTGAGGAGGACCAGGTAAGTGACATACTCTTTCTCCCACCAGGGGGACAGAGGGGCCTGGGTCCCTGCCACCATGATGCGTTTGGATGAAAATGTTACCCTCAGCTGTGAGCAGGGACATGAGAGCAAAAGGGCACATGGTTTCCTTATTGTCCTCTCCCCGAACAATCAAGCTGATCCCCCTTGGGCCCTGCTTGTAATTGGCACAGGCCCCGTGTAGACACTGAACTCTAAAGCTGTGGCCTGGGGAAGTAGGAGATGGAGGGGGGCTAGGCTCTGAGGTGTGTCCCACTTCCTCCCCACCATTAGCGCCAGCGGCTAGAAGAATTCAAAGAGAGGCTACGGAAGCAGCGGGAGGAGAAGCTCCTTCGCGCTGCTCAGCAGAGCTCACGACCCTCGAGTGCCTGAGTACCACCCATGAAACAACATACGCTCAGTTCTTTGTTTCTCACGGAAGTGTTTTATTATCTGCTTTTGGGGGGTACAAGGAGGGTGCAAGAGGGCTTCAGCCTTCAGGGGGCTTGTGTCTGGGGCTGGGGGCTGCTGTTCCGACGGAAGCCGAGAGCAGATGGGTCCTGAGGGGTGAGGAGAGGCTGGGGGCTGAGGGTCCCAGCTCGTTTCTGCACTCCGTCCTGTGGATGAGGAGGCGTCAGCCAGAGAGAGGGACCAAGGGCAGCGCTGGCCCAAGGTGACACAAACATTGGAAAGAGGGTGCAGGTAGGAGCCGTTGTCCCACCTCCCACCGTCTGCCCCCACCACCCCCGAGCTTCTACGTACCTGAATTATCAACACTTATGGTGGTATTTGAGTGGGAGGCGGGGGTCTTGGGGATCCCACTGGGGTCTTGATCAGAACCCAAGCTGTGTTTCATTACATGTGACATAGACTTATGCGAATATATCAGCTTGTGTACCCTCCTCCCTGGGCTTGTCTTCCCAGGAAGGTGTTCATTCTCTCAAGTCCTCAGTCATGGGGGCAGGAGCCCTGAGTTCCAGCCATGGCTCCGACATTAATATGCCCTCTGCATGACCTTGGGCCCTCTCGGCCTTGTCTGGGCCTTCATTCTCCTGTCTGAGTTGGGTGTTGGATTGGTCAGGGCCTTGTGACCGGCAGGGACACAGGACAAGCACCCCTACCGAGCACTCATCCGCAGGAGGCACGCGATGGAGAGAGGAGGGGGTGGGAGGCAGGGCCAGGGGGCTCAGCATGGCTGTTCTCCCTCAGCCCCAGCAGAACATCACCTACCTTGGAGCCCGCAGGCTGGAAGCCAGGCAGGGCGCTGGCCGTCACACGCTGGTCATCCATGCGGTGGCCCTGGGTGCTGGCCAGCATGTCCATCAGACTGTCCATCTCTGGCACGGGGCCGCTCTCTGCACGGTGTGCAAGGAGGTGGGGGTGGGCATATACACAGATTCCAGGGGACACAGCGCAGTTGGAGCTCCCAGCCCGCCCCTGCCCCCTACGTATGTTCTCCAGGAAGCTCGCTCATCTCTCCCCTCCATCCCTTGCCCCTAGGCCCACAAGCATCTGTGTTGCCAGTTGCCTGCTCACTCTCAGACAGACTCTTGCCTACAGGACCCCCAGATGGTCACTTGTCCTGTACCCCACGCCTGGCGCCCCATTATGCACCCAGACAGCACGCCCACCCTACGCCACTGCCCACTCACCGCTCGTGGAGGGGGTGCCTGGCCCTGCCCGCAGCGAGCAGCGCTGCTCCTCCATTCGGTCACCCTGCACATGGCTCAGCAGGTTGAAGAAGCCCTCTTGGTCAGGGGAGCCTGCCTGGGAGACAGACATACCTGGTCCAGCCGGCCCCTCACTTGGGGGACCCCTCAGCGGCTCCCGCCCCAGCCCTGGAGTCTTGCCTCCTCCTTGGCTCTCACCATGGTCCCCGCCGATGTGCTGCTGTGCAGAACTGCAGCGACTGAGACGCGAGTCCCCTTACCAATCCCAGCCCCCAGGACCCGGCCAGCAGTGCCACTGCGCGTGCCGCTGCCTCAAGGGAGAGGCTGCTGGCAGCCTGTTGTCCTAGATTGGGGCCCGACCACAGGGCGCAAGCCAGGGCCCCACCCAGGGGCCGCCCCCGAATCCCAGCACCCCCCGGCTCACCAGGACCATCACGAAGAGCGCTGACCTCTGCCCTGGGGCTGGGCCGGGCACGTGGACCCTCATGCCCACCAGCATTTCCTTGGGTGGCAAACTGGGTCAGGAGTCCCAGGAGACCCAATCGCTAATTAGGTGCCCTACAAACTAGTTAGTTTTGTCATTCACTGCTCTTGAGGAGTTGGGAGGGTGTGGAGGTGGGATCTGCCTACCTTGACACAGGTGGCTGACCCCCCATCCACCCTCTCTTCCTGGTCCATCTTTGTTCCTGCTTCCTGAGCTCGGTCCACTTCTCTGCTGGCCTCTGGCCCAGCCCTGTGCCAGAGAAGGCTTTTTAAAAGACATACAGGGGAACAGTGGATACAGGGCCCCAAATCCCCTGCTCATAGCACATCTGCTCCCACCCAAGCTGAAGCCCCATAAAGATGATCCCGGTAATTGTTTTGCTGGGAACTGCTGGGGCTGCTGTGGGGGCAGGAAACTCGGTGACCTGGGTTGGGCCTTTGCTGACCTAGCAGGACTCACTGTGCCCCAAGAACTCTCAGGTGGGGTGCAGCGAGAGGCCAGAGCAGTGTCCCCACAGTGGGCGTGGAGGCTGTCTGGGCCCCGTTGGGGGAGGACAAGCCCGTGGGGCGCCTTGGAGGGGGGCCGCAGCCCAGCAGAAGGAAGCAGTGCAGACGGTCTCACCCGGCTGGAGGGGCAGTTGGACCTGAAGACCGCTGTGGCGCCACCAGCAGCCTGGCTCCATCTCTGTCTCTTGGCAACGTCTACTCCTACTCACTGTCCCTGGGCCTGGTTGCCTCCCATAGGCCCCAAGGCAAGGTCCAGGATCTCCTGTCTCCCCAGCACCGATGACAAGTTGAGCTGTCTCTAATTTGTACCTCCAGCCCTGCCTGGGGACCGGCGGCTGCGTTCCTGGGACGGGAGGCGGTAGGAGAGCCCTGCCCCTCCCCCTGCACTCCAGTGGCCCTGGCTTCCCTCCGTGGCCTGGGAGTGGATGTCACCGGGAGAGTCGGACCAACACCCCACGCCCTCCCCCAGATGCCTTTTTGGAGACTAGTTAAAGTTGCTTCCTGGAATAAACGGGCCCCGTTGTCACCACCCCTGCCAGAGTGCAAAGCTTGGTCCTCCGTCCTGGGCAGCGCTTCCCTCTCCAGGGTCCGGGGCCATGCCCTCTCCGTGGCCCCAAGTCCTCGATGCCAACGTATGTCCCGCTCCACCACGGATGTATTTTGTTTCCTGGGGCTGCCTTACTATGTCACAAACGGGGCATCTTAGACATTTGTTGTCACACAGCGGTGGAGGCCAGACGTCTGAAATCACATCGGCAGGGCCCTGCTCCTGAGACCCGTGGGGGGGCCTCCTCGCCTCACCCGGCTCCTGACAGCTGCCTGCAGGCTTTGGGGCTCCTTGGCTTGTAGCTGCAGTGCTTCAGTCTCAGCCTCTGTCACCACATGACATTCCTCATGTGTCCTTGTCTTCATATGGCTGTCATAAGACATGGAGGCCAGTCATACTGCTTTAGGGACCCACCCTACTGCAGTGTGACCTTGCCAAAACTCACCTGCGACAACTCTGACCCTATTTCCAATAAAGTCACATTCTGAGGTCTCGGGGGTTAGGATTTCAATGTACTTTATTGGGGAGGGGGCGGGTGGACAGGAGCCCATTCAGCCCACAACAGCTGAAAAGCCTGGTCATCCCCACCGAGTACATGTGGGGCGGCAGGAGACAGGCTGTGAAGCTAGAGGCGAGCCCAGCTTTCTCGTGGTCTCCTGGCTCCCCGTGCGGCCCCTGCAGTGTATCCTCCCCCGCCCCAGGAGTCGCAGGGGTCCCTTTCTTTCCCTGCTCAGAACTCTCCCTAGGTCTTCATTGTCCTTAGAAGAAAACTCAAACAGCTTGTGGGCCATGAGGATGTTCTGGAACGGGCTGAAGACGGCCGCGCAGCTCTGAGTGCTAAAAGCTGTCGAGATGGCACCCTCAGTGGAGGAGTTGTGCTAAGATGTGACTTACATCTCAATAAAGCTGTAGAAGAAAAGGAAGGAAAGGAGCGGTGGAGGGAGGGAGGGAAGGAAGGAGGGAGGAAGGAAGAAAAAAGGAAGGAAGGAGAAAGAGAAGAAAGAATGAAGGAAGGAAGGAAAGGAAAAGAGAAGGAAAGGTGAAAAAAGGACCCAAATCCCTGTCGGGGGTGGGGGGGACAAGCCCTCCTGCTTTGCCTGGGACTGTTCCAGGGGTCGCAGGGTCCTGCACCCCAGGAACCGCTCAGTCCCAGGTAGGTCGGGCTGGGTCATTCCTACCTTGTCCCACAGGAGTCTGGCCTTTGTGGTTCCTCCAACCTCACCTTCCACCCAGCCCTCCTTACCCCCCACCCCCTGCCCTCCTGTGCCCTCCTCTGCCTGGGTCAGTGCATGGCAGCTGCTTGGTGTCACTCAGAGTATGTCTGAGGCCCCCCTCAGAGGGAGGTACCACCCCCAATAAAGCACCCCGACGTCGCACTTACTACCATATCACTGTTTCCCGTGGGGCAGAATCGATTATTTTCTGTCCCTTCCCTCCTGAACTCAGCTGTAAGTTGCGTGTGGCAGAACTTCGGTTGTCTGTCCCATCCTGTCCCATGCAAATGGCAAAGGGCCTGGTACCTGGTCGACTCTTAATAGTCACTAAACGAAGGAACCACTTCAGGACTCGGCCTTCACACGCGTGCGTCCCACTTTCAGTCTGAGAGCTCGTTCGTGGCGGTGCTGCTGGACTGCACCCTGTCTGAGACAGGGCGTCAGCCTTGGCTGGCACACACGGCGGGAGCGGGCCCTGAGGTTCCGAGTCGAGTGTGAACTGAGGTGTGTGTGAATGTGCCAGCGGCTGAGCATGCCCTTCAATCCACACATGTATGAGGCTGCAAATGTGTGCACAACCAGTGAGCATGAGGCTGTGAGGAGCCTTCCTCCTGGAACAAACTCTTGATTCAAATTCGAATAAGCCTACTCATCACAGAGCCTTGCTCACAGGTCCTGCTGAGACGGGTGTCACTGTCCATACTGTGCTCCCTCTCAGGATCTCTGGGAGGGTGGAGTTCACAGTAGGTGCCGGCTTATCTCCAACCCTGAGTTTACCAATGTTGCCCGAGCTTGCTGCTGCTGCTGCTAAACTCTGGGGTACAGAAGGGAAGTGGGCCACGGGTTTGTAACCGCACGGCCCCGTGGGCACACAGCATCCCTCAAACATAGAGAAGCTTGTGGGTGTGCCCGGGGAAGGTGAAGGGGTTATTACTGCCCTGCAGTCCCACTTTCTCGCTGCACGCAAGCAGGGGACGTGTGTTCGAGCTCACGTTTGTGTGTCGTCGAGGTGGGCCCTCCAGAAACTTGGTGCCAGTCTGTTTGGGCTCACCCACTTGTTCACTCTGTGAGGGTCCAACCTTCCAAGAACTGAGAGGGGCCAGGTGTGCCGGGGCGAGGCCAGGTGTGCCGGGGCGGGGCCCGTACCAGCGGGGCGGGGTCCACGTGGGTGACGCTCGGGGCCACGCCCCCACCTTGGACAGACCCGGAAGCAGCGGCTGGCCCGTTGGGGAAGATGGCGCCCTCGGGGTTGAAGGCTGTGGTGGGGGAAAGTGAGTGACGACCCGGGCCGGGCTTTTGCGTCCCCCAGGGGGCGGGGGCCAGGGGCACTCGGACTCTGCGACCCCGGCGGCGGGGAGTTGGGGGCCGGACTGGGCGTCTAAGCACCCGACCCTGGAGGGAGCGGGCGGGAAGTTGGTTCCAGCTGGCCGTCCCGGCTCCCCGCTGCCGGAGCTGAACAAAATTGGGAGACTGGATTCTGGGGACCCAAGGGATGGCGTACGCAGGTGTCAGGGCACGGATTCCTGAGCCCTCTGGAGCCGGGGAGAAGAAGGCACAGCTGGACGACCAGATTCCCGGGTCTCGGGGCGCTGCAAAGCCCGGGGGGCTGGACTCTTGGGGCACAATGCTGCGGACTGGGGCTGGGCTGGGTGCTCTGAGCAGCGCACCCCAGATGGTGTGAACGTTCAGGAGTGTCCAGATCCTCTGTTCAGTTCCGGGGGGGTGGGGACGCCTTCCTTTTTGAACCCCATGCAACGCGAGGACCCAGGCATCCAGGCCGTGCGGCCGAGTTCTGGGGGGAGGGGTGGAGATCGCCCGCTCCCGAACCTCGGGTAGTTCCGGCCTCAGCTGCTTCTTCCGCCCTGGCGGTTCTGATAACCGTGATGACATTCTGGCAGGGCGGGGCCGTCCCTTCCCTTCTGCACCCTCAGCTAGGCAGGACAGAGTGTAGCCCAAACCCCCGCACCCCAACTGACAAAGGAGCCTGGCACACAGTGGTTAACCTGGAGGCCGGAAAGCCACTGATTCCATTTTACAGATGAGGAAACTGAGGCTGGAGGTCGGGTGATGGAATGACCATGGCCAGGCACATTTCAAAGCTGGGAACCAGGGGATCCTGTGTTCTAGTCTAGTGGAAACTGATGGGGGTGGAGTGGGGGCTCTGGTCCAAACCTCCACACCAGGAGAACTTAAGGTAGCCCTTGGGGGAGCCGAGAGTCCAGCTCTGGAGGCAGGAAGACCTAACTTTCCAGTTACTGTTTATCTAAAGTGTATTTATCTAGGGGCTACTTCTGTACCAGGCTCTGGGCCACTTAGGCCCTCAGGGTGGTTCGTCTAGTGGGTCTAGACTAACTTCAGTTGAACCTCAGTTTCCCTGTCTATAACGTGGGGCAACACCAGCAGCCATGTCACAGAATGGGAGGGGGAGGAGTAAACAGTAGGTAAGATGGAAGTCCAGCCTGGGATTCCGAAGGGTTGGGGTGTGGTGGGGCCAGAGGACCCAGCATCCTGAGCCCACCCTCCCCTACAGAAATTTTGAGCGGAGTCATTCGGAGCGTCAAAAAGGACGGGGAGTGGAAGGTAGGGGTGAGGCAGAACGCTTTGTTCAAATGCCGGTGGGAGTCCCTGAATGTGGGACCACTCCCAAACCCCCTGAGAAAGCCGGGCGGGTCTGGGATGGGATGGGAGGGTGGGGCCCTGGGTCCCCCCGTTCAGCCAGCTCTTGAAGCTGACAGTCCTGTCCACCACCCCAGCCCCACCTCGGGGCAGCTTCAGCCTCCCCTGCCCACTTGAATGTCCTTTGGTCCACCCGCCCACCCGTCTGGACAGGTGCTCCTCGTGGACCACCCAAGCATGCGCATTTTGTCATCGTGCTGCAAGATGTCAGACATCCTGGAAGAGGGCGTCACCAGTGAGTGAGCACCTCCGCCCTGTGCTCCCCGGATGGGGCCTGAGTGTGGGAACGCGTCATGGGCAAACCCCGCCCCCACAGGACTCGTGACTGTGGCCCCTGAGGGGTCAGCCTCCCCGGCTGTTCAACCCCTGTGTGGGACCCTGGGTAGAACTCTCAGGGCAAACTCAGCATGGGACCCCCAGAACACATAGCTTCCTATGGGAGGCCCCTGGGGGTGTGAGTTGTGACCCTGAATGTGCAGAACACTGCTCATGTCTGATGCTCGCCATGTGCCCCAGTCCCAGTCCCACCTTTCTGTGTCCCTTCCTCTGTTCCTACTAGTTGTTGAGGACATCAACAAGCGGCGAGAGCCCATCCCCAGCCTGGAGGCCATATATTTGTTGAGCCCTACGGAGAAGGTGCCTGTGTGAGCGAGTATGTGTGAGCATGTGTGGGTGTGTGGCTCTGCGTGTCTGCACGTGTCTGGGGGCACAGGCAGCAGCTGGGGGCTGGGGCAGAGGACGGATGGGTCAGTGGGTGCAGGGCCAGGCCTGGAGAGTGACCTGCATCCCCCAGTCAGTGCAGGCCCTGATCGCAGACTTCCGCGGGACCCCGACCTTCACCTACAAAGCGGCACACGTCTTCTTCACAGACAGTGAGTGAGGATAACCTGAGGAGAGAGTAGACTTTGGCCTGGGGGTGTGGGTGTGGCTCTGACCTAATGTCCCCTCTCGCCCACCCAGCCTGTCCGGAGCCTCTGTTCAGTGAGCTGGGCCGCTCACGTCTGGCAAAGGTGGTGAAGACACTGAAAGAGATCCACCTTGCCTTCCTGCCCTACGAAGCCCAGGTACAGCCCGGCCTCGTCCTGGGCAGGGTGCGGGGATCTGTGACCAGATGACTCAGGTTCTCTCAGAAACAGACTCTGAGACAAGTAAAGGGGACGGTAAGTCAGAAAGGAAAGGAGCCAACATAGAATGAATGAGGCCCTACCACTGTGGGCACCTGGAGCTGGGTCCCACTGGGCAACTGCAGGGCGTGGCGCAGAGCAGCCTCTGAGTTGTCTTGCCCATGGCAGGGGGGCTGGGGTGTTTCTCCGCCTCTTCCTCCGGGCACCTGTGTCCTCGCAGGTGTTCTCCCTGGATGCCCCTCACAGCACCTATAACCTCTACTGCCCCTTCCGGGCGAGTGAGCGGACAAGGCAGCTTGAGACGTTGGCCCAGCAGATCGCCACGCTTTGTGCCACACTGCAGGAGTACCCAGCCATCCGCTACCACAAGTGGGGACCTCACCCTGATGCTGCCCCCTGACCATGACCTCGTCCTGCGTCCTGCCTTTCACCTCTTTTTTAATCCCAGCCCCAGTCCTTACCCTGCTACCTGACTCCTACCCCTGACCCCCTCCTTGACCTCAGTCTGTGCTTGGCCCTCCCCAGCCCCACGCCCTAAGGCCCGTGTCTGCCCATCCCCCCCACAGGGGCCCAGAGGACACGGCCCAGCTGGCTCATGCAGTCCTGGCCAAGCTGAATGCCTTTAAGGCAGACACTCCCAGTTTGGGCGAGGTAAGGGGGTGCCCTTGGGAGGTGGGACAAGACCCTAGCCGGGGTCTGGCTTAATGTCCTAATCCCTGCCCACCCCCCGCTACCCCAGGGCCCCGAGAAAACCCGCTCACAGCTGCTGATCATGGACCGGGCGGCCGACCTTGTGTCCCCACTGCTGCATGAGCTCACATTCCAGGCCATGGCCTATGACCTGCTGAACATTGAGCAGGACACATACAGGTAGGCAGACCCCAGAAACCCCTTGCCCCCATCACACCCACCCTAGGTCCCAGGTCCTCAGGGAGTGCTCTGTGTCTCCGCACTCCTGCAGGTATGAGACCACCGGGCTGAGCGAGGCCTGTGAGAAGGCTGTGCTCCTGGACGAGGACGACGACCTGTGGGCCGAGCTGCGGCACATGCACATCGCGGACGTGTCCAAGTAGGTGCGGGGCCCTGGGCGTGGGCCCTTCTGCACCGAGGTCCCCGCCTGGACTCTCACCACCAGTGCTACCACCCCTCCCCCAGTGGGTGCCCGGCACAGGGCCTCCCGCCCTCAGTGAGTGCACTCTCTCTACAAGCCACGCCCCTCAGCCCGCTCCTCGGTGTGTCCCCAGTGTGGGCTTGCACATGGCATCGCGCAGGGGCATGCGTCCCCAGGCTCCCGTGCTTCTCGGCCATGTGACCCCCATGCTGCCCTCAAACTGCAGTCTTGGTACCAGCCCCCAACCTCACCCCTGCCCACCCTCATGGCCAGGAAGGTCACAGAGCTTCTGAAGACATTCTGTGAGAGCAAGAGGCTGACCACTGACAAGGTACGGCCTGCCTGCATTAGGCCGGGCACCTTGGGAGGAAAGCCGCCCCCCAGATTGGGGGGCGGGCCTCAGTCTGGATTCCAAGCCTGGCGTGGGAACCTCACCGCCATGCTGTTCCTAGGCCAACATCAAAGACCTGTCCCACATCCTGAAAAAGATGCCACAGTACCAGAAGGAGCTGAACAAGGTGAGCAGGGGCCAGGAACCTGCTCCCCCCGGCTCCTGCCCCCCTGTCTCCCCTTGACTCGGTTTCTGTTACCCCTGACTCCCGCCCCCATCCCGCAGTATTCTACACACCTGCACTTAGCTGATGACTGCATGAAGCGCTTCAAGGGTTCCGTGGAGAAGCTGTGCAATGTGGAGCAGGTGGGCGCAGCTTGGGGGCCGTCAGACTGGATGTGGCCGTGCGAGGGGGCGGGGCTTATTGGCGAATGGGTAGAACCTTCAGAGATCTGGTACCAGAATGACACGTGAGCCCCAAAGGTCTTACCGAGGACCCTGGGGATGTTCCTGCCGTGCCCATCCCCACCAGGGGCTGACAGGACAGCTGCGCTCCATTCCCCGTAGGACTTGGCCATGGGCACCGACGCAGAGGGCGAGAAGATAAAGGACGCCATGAAGCTGATTGTGCCCGTGCTGCTGGACGCAGCAGTGCCCGCCTATGACAAGATCCGGGTGTTGTTGCTCTACATTCTTCTTCGGAATGGTGGGTGGGAGGAAATGTGGGCCTTGAGAGACCCTGATTCACCAGGGTCTCCAGTGGTCCTGGGATCCCCTCCACCCCACGGTACCCCTGTTCTTGAGACTCCCCCGCTGGCCAGGTGCGCCAGACTTACAGACACCCCTTTGGGATCCCCCGCCATCGACCTGGGGAACTCCTCATTGGTGCGAGAGCTCCATGAACAGGGAGGGCCCCCCAAATCTAGGACTTCTCCAGACTTGGCCCCTCAACTAATTCTAGAGGACCCCTGGTCTGCTCCTCGAGACCCCACGCCCACTCAGGGTTCTAGCATCAGGACTCTCCCTCGCACCAACGCTGGTGGCTTCCTTGATCCTGAGGACCTCCCCACTGCAGGTCCTGGGGCCTCCTCGCAGCACCGCCAACCCAGGAAGTCTCATGGCCCCCTCTGTCCCCCCGCCCTCCCAGAGCCCACTCCCCAGGAGAGTCCCACGCAGGTAAGCCTGCCCATCCCCCTCTCCCAGGTGTGAGTGAGGAGAACCTGGCCAAGCTGATCCAGCACGCCAACGTGCAGGCCCACAGCAGCCTCATCCGGAACCTGGAGCAGCTGGGAGCTACTGTCATCAACCCTGGGGTATGCTGGGGCCAGCGCCTGGGGAGGGGGCATTGAGTCGGAGCCCGGGCCCCGGGCGGGTGGAGGGCACATCACAGGACTGGGGTCCACAGGGTGTGGTATGGTTTCGGGGGGACAGAATGCTGTGCAGTGATTGCTCTGGGGACCAGGGAGCACCAGGGCTGTCCCCAACTCTGAGTCATGCAACAAATGGGGCGGGGCAGAGGCGGGCCCGGTCCAGGCCACGGTGCAGTGTGGGGGGTGTGGTCCGAGCCCCCGGGGGTGGACAGCAGTGCTGCCAGCAGTGGGCGAGGACACAGCCGACCCTGGGCTCCTGGACGCCTCAGAGGACTGCTGTGCACCCAGCACACACACAGCTTCTGATCAGCTTTCCACTCAGCCTCTCCTGTCTCTGGCCTTCCCCATCCCCCCCCCCCCGCCCCGGGCCTCCACGGCTGGGCTGCGCCGCCGTGGAGTCTCACCTCCTGTCCCTCTCCCAGTCGTCTCTGTCTCCCACCTCCCCGCTCCCCTGTTCCTCTCTGCTCTCCCACCGCTGTGCCCATTTTTCTCTCTACCTCTTTCTCTTTGCTCTCACTCTGTCTCACTGCCTGTTTCCTCCTCCTCCCTCTCTCTTTCATTCTCTCTTTCTAGTCCTCTGTTCTATTTCTCCATGTTTTTCTGCAACACACTCCAAAATAATAGGAGCCCCCAGCCCCACCTATGACCTGCCTCCTTCTCCCCAATTCCCCCACTGGCCTGCTGCACCCCCCCGTAGGGCCCTGGCACCCCCAGCCGGCTGGAGCGGAGGGAGCGCTTGGAGCCCACCTACCAGCTGTCCCGCTGGACCCCAGTCATCAAGGACGTGATGGAGGTACCACGGGCAAGGGGCGAGCACCAGGGGGGTGGGGCTGGGGACCGACCCCTGCCCCCGCCAAGCCCTGCCCAGCCCCAGGCATCAGCCCAGCCCCCTTCACGCTCATGGAAAACCCCTTGTTACAGGCGTCCCCAGTATCCCGTCTGCTCTGCCAGGGGGCACCCAAACCTGCACCCGCCGAATTGGTGCAGCAGTGGGGCCCTCCGTGGGGTGTCTCATTTTCTCTCCATTCACCTTCCACTTCCTCTGTCCTCCCTCTCCCTAGTCTTCTCCCCTGTGCCTGGGGAAGACCCCGGTTCCCCCCTTTGCCTTCCCCATACCAGCCCTTGGCCATCCTAGGCCCCAAAGGCAGCAAAACCAAAAAGGACCAGGTTGGGGGGCCCGGCTTCCTGGCCTGCTGTCCTAGCCTGCCTGCTGTCCCTGGGGAGGCCTAGTACTTCCACTCACTCGGCCCCAGTGAGCTTGGCTCCTCCATCCCCGTGGACCCTGGATGCCTGCATTCCTGGGTCCCTGAGTGGCTGGGGTCCTGGACTGTTGAGTCCCAGGGGCCTGGGAGCCCACACTGCTGAGTCCTCGAGAGGCTGAGGGTCCAGACTCCTGAGTCCCCAGGGGGTGGAGCTGCAGATGGTGGCTCCTGTCTGGTAGGATCTTGGCCCCTGCAACACCCAGTGAGGGGTCCCCGAGCGTGGGCCCCCTCGCCCGGAGCCTCTCCCCTAAGCGTCGCTCTCTGGCCCCCAGGATGCGGTGGAGGACCGGCTGGACCGCAAGCTCTGGCCCTTTGTGTCCGACCCCGCCCCCGTGGCGCGCTCCCAGGCGGCCGTGAGGTGAAGGGCCAGGGACGCCCCGAGTGGTGCCCGGGGCTGCTAGGTGAGGGGCGTGGGGTGTCCTGCCCAGACTGACCTCTGTCCCCACCCCCACCCCCACCCCCACTTCCGCCTGCACAGCGCCCGCTTTGGCCACTGGCACAAGAACAAGGCTGGGGCAGAGGCGCGGGCAGGGCCCCGGCTCATCATCTACGTTGTGGGTGGTGTGGCCATGTCAGAGATGAGGGCCGCCTACGAAGTCACCAGGGCCACTGAGGGCAAGTGGGAGGTGCTCATTGGTGAGTGGCCGGGATTGGGGTCCTGGGCCGGGGCGGCCTGGGACCTGGACGCCCCTGTGCCTGGGTTCCCCGGGTGCTGGCGCAAGGCTCCCTGGTGCTTTAGAGGGGCGGGCCTCGCCATCTGGAGCCCCTGCAGGGCTGGCATCTGAGATGGGGGAGGGGGCTGGGGCTGGGTTTCCTGGGAAGGGGTTGCCAGGGAGCCGGGGGCCTGGATTCCCGTGTTTCTGAGGAGCGCTCAGAGTCAAGGCCTGGCCTCCCAGGACCCTAGCTTGGGGGCATCCGGGGCTCAGGTGGAACCCCACGTCACGCCCCCCCCTCCTGTCCAGGCTCCTCACACATCCTCACTCCAACCCGCTTCCTGGATGACCTCAAGACCCTGGACCAGAAGTTAGAGGACATTTCCTTGCCTTGAACCGCCGTACCCACCTTGAACCGCACCCCTCCTTTTCCAGAAAAATAAACACCTCTTTGCTGCCTGGGACCAGGGCCCACCTTGTTTCTTTCCTGGGGAGCTGTCACAGGCCAGCCTCTCACGGTCCCATTCGCTGGCCTGGGCCTCTGGCCCCGACACGCCGTGTTGTCCTGCCTGAGGACGCCTGAAGCCCATGTGGAGATTAAGAGCTTGGGCTCTGGTTGGAACATTGGCTCCATGACTGTCTAGCTGTTAGGTCTCGGCTAATGTGCTGGGCTCTCCTTCCAAAAAACGGGCCCAGGAATGGCCACAGCCTTGCAGAGGAAATAGGAAACAGTGGCAGAAAGCAGATGGGTGACAGCTGCTGTTCCTCCGTTGTCACTAGAGTTACCTTGGCTGCTCCCGTGGGATTGTTAGGGTCCCTGACAAATGGCGTGAACCTGCACACTCGCTCCCAAGCCCCCAGGGAGGGCCCTGCAGCCCTGCAGGCTGCGGGGGCCCCTCCAGCTCCTGGGATCAGACTCTGCATTGGTGTGCGGACCAGCACACAGCGAGTCAGCACTCTCCCTGCTCACCCTCCCCCTTGCCCCCAGGGTGTTCCCGGGGGTCCCTAACTGCAGGACTTACCAGAGCCTTTACTGGATATGCCAGTTTTCTAGGGCCACCGTAACAAAGTACCGCATTCCAGGTGAGCGGAGGCTGGAAGTACAAGATCAAGGTGTCGGCAGGAGGCCCCTCTCCTGGGCTGGGGGACAGCTGTCCTCTCCCTATGTCTTCATGGTCTATCCTCTGTGCAAGCCTGTGTCCTAATCTCTTAAAAGGACACCAGCCGTGTCGGATTAGGGCCCACCTTAATGGCCTCATTTTAACTTAATTGCCTTTTTAAAGGCCCTTCCTTTAAATACAGTCATATTCTGAGGTACCAGAGATTAGGGCCTCAATGTATAAAATTTGGGGGGAAACAAAGCCCAGGACACTCATCTAAAATGAGATGTGAATCCAATAGCACTAAGACAGACGAGGTGGTCTCTGGGCCACAAACACACAGCCGGGCAGACAGTCACAGCAGAGGGGTCTGTAGGAGGTCAGAGGACACTGTAATCAGCCTAGTCTGGGGGCAGTCCGGAAAGACTTCCTGGAGGAGGTGAAGTTGGCTCTCAGAATGAAGTCAGGGAAGGGAGGAGAAGGCTCAGTGGAGGCAAATGCAGGAGAGTGGCATGAAGCCAGAGGGAAGGTACCGAGGGACCACAAGACCTGAGAGCCACACAGGGCCTGGCAGGCGGTGGTGAGGATGCCGGCGCTTGGGGACGGGCACAGGCGCGGGCTGGGTGGGCGGGTTAGGTGGGCATAGTGCCCGCCCCCCAGCAAAGTGCTGCTTATTCCCGTGTTGTATCGCCTCTGGGAGTGCACCCCATACAAGGCTGGGGCCGGGAGGGCATGTGCTGAGGCAGGACAGCCAGGACCCGCCTGCTGAGGACTTGGCCCTGGTTTTGAGGTCAACTATTTTGAGAATTCAGGGAACTCTAAGGACACCCGAGAAAAATCGCCAGGTGGTGCATGTGGGGGGCCTGGAGAAACACAAAACTCTGGCTCCGCAAGTCTAGGATTTACCTGAGACTCCCATCAGAGCAGAAGAATGGGTGTAGGAAGTGGGTCCGTGCAAACCCCCGAAACGGCTCAGCCTGTGTGCGCAGCTCCCCGTGAGGTTCCGGCAGGGGAGCGGTTTAACTGGCGTGAGAATGAGGGATTGTGGGGGAGACTGTTTTAAAGCTGAACCTGTAAACTCCCTCCTAGGAAAGGCTGCTTCTCCTCAAAGAGCTGCCTGTGTAGGGAAATGCTGTGAGCACTAGGGGGCCCTTTGGCTCAACTTCCCAGTTTCTTCGCTCCTTTACTTCTGTAACTGGAGCCCGGCTGGGGAACCTGCAAATTAGAAACTTAAGAAGGTCAGGGAGCCCTGGCTAGGTAGGTCAGCTGGTTAGGGCGTTGCCCAGTAGGCCAAGCTTGCGGGTTCCATCCCCCTGCAGGGTACATACAACAAATGGATGTTTCTCCCTTCCTTTCTAGAGTCAACTTTTAATCAAAGATTAGATCTTACTAAAGATATTTTGATTTTACAAACATTCCCGGGCCCCCTGGACCGCAGTGGTCAGCAGCGTCAGGCTCTGACAGCATCCCAGCATCACGCCAAGCGCCACGCTCCCGGCCCGGAGTCCTCAAAACCCTCCCATGAGAATGAAATCCAGCCTCCCTCTGTCCGAGTCCTGTGCGGTGCCCCCCCCCCCGCCCCCCACGGCTGCTCTGGCTGCACGAGGCTCTGCCGGCCACAGAGCCTTTGCGCCCGTCGCTCCCCCTGCCTGCAGGGCTGGCCCCCCACATTTCTGCCCCGCTGCCTCCTTCCCGTCTAACTCCAATGTCACCGCGTCTGAGAGGCCTCTGCTGTCCTTCCTCAGGACCATTGATCAGGGCACAGTGTGTTTCCTTTGGGGTTCTCTTCCCATCCTGGCAATGATCCCCATTCTGGACTCGACTGGTTTCTTCTTTATGCTCTCACCTTGTTCCTTAGCCTTCCCTCTATCCCCACCAATGAATGGGTGTCCTCTGGTCCCCACCAACTTGCCACCTTAAAGATGTTAAGAGCTGTCAGACCTCACCACTTGGACCATTATCTCTTTAAAAAAATTTTCTTTATTGATTGATTTTTTTTGAGAGAGAGACATTGACGCATTGTCCCACTTATTTCTGCACTCATTGGTTCCTTCCTGCCGGTGCCCTGACCAGGGATCAAACCTGCACTATCGGCGTGTTGGAGCGGTTGTCAAACCGACTGGGGACCTGGCCGGGGCAGACTCGTTACCTCTTGAAGATGATTTCCATCCTTACATTCCTTCTGCTGAAACTGAGGTTCTTCTCAAAAGAACTGCCTCCAGCAACTAGTGGGTTTGTGTGGAAAGTAACAGCCTGATACATTTTCTTACTTCAAGATCCCCAGGAAGCAGGTGGACGCATGAGCTCATCACGGAGGCCTAGGGTAGGGACAGACCTCAGCGTCTCCGGTGGCCACATTTTAAGCAAATAGGAAGCACCCAGGAACCCCTAGCTGCAATAATAATAATACAGATTATAATAGTATATTCTTTTTTACTTTTTCTTACATATTTTATTGTTCTATTACAGTAGCCCCCGTCTTTCCCCGTGCCCTCCTCCCCCCAGCCCGCCCCCACCCCGCTCTGTTGCCCGTGTCCGTGGGTCATCCATATGTGGTCCTCGACTAGTCCCTTCCCCTTCTCTCCACCGCGTCCCCCTCCGCCTCCCCCCGGTCGCTGTCGGTTTGTTCCTTATTTCCCTGCCTCTGGTTCTATTTTGCTCACTTGTTTGTTTTGTTGATTAGGTTCCACTTATAGGTGAGGTCATATGGTGTTTGAATTTCACCGCCTGGTTTATTTCGCTGAGCATAATGCTCTCTGGTCCCACCCATGCTGCCGTAAAGGGTAGGAGTTGCTGTTTTCTGCCTTGTCGTGTTCCACTGTGTAAATGTACCACAGTTTTTTGATCCACTCATTTACTGATGGGCACTTAGGCTATTTCCAGCCCTTGACTATTGTAAATAATGCTGCTACGTTATTTACATAGAACATAGGGGTGTGTAGGTTCTTCTGATCTTGGTGTTTCAAGAGATTATAATAATGTATGCTTGACATAATAATGTTGTGATCGCTCGCACTCTAGTGGGGGCCGTGTTGGGCGGGACAGCGGTTCCCACGAACAAGAGGGAAGGCTCGCTCAGGCTGGTGTCTGCGCTTTGGGCAGCCGGTGGGGCTTCTCGGACGATGTGAGCGCCCCTGTTCTTGAGGTTGGGAGCACATCCCAGGGCGAGGTTGGCTGCCTGTGCTATGCAGGGGCTGCTCTTAGAATAACACCTCATCCAAGAGACAGGAGGACGAGGTCCGTGGTCTTGAACTGGCTCGACTTGAAAAATATGAGAGTCCCGGGTCCAATGGAGTTGCCAGCTGGGCCAGGTGGTGAGATGGGGACATGTGGAAGGGACAGTGGAGGGAAAAGAGGGGGAAAGGGAGCAGAGTAAGTGTGCCGAGGTCTGCAGGGGGAGGGGCTTCCTGGTCTTGGGGCAGGAAAAGGGAGTGACTGTGACTTAATAAGCCAAGGAAAGCTCTTGGGGGTGAGCAAAGTAAAGGGTGGGGGAGGCAGCGTGCTAGGGACCCGTACATCCAGGAAGCAGGGCAAACTTCCTTTATTTTGTAAAAAAAAAAGAGTTGCTCAAAACCTGAAAACACGTTAACCAACAGCTACCACCAAGGGCATTGCAAAAAGGCATCTGGGTGAGGAAACCGCCCTGTGAGTGGGAAGGCTCCACTCCCGTGGGGCCGGAGATGGGGCCCCTGAGGCTGGGCGTTGGGGGCAGAGGACAGGAAGGGGGCGTCCTGGCTCGGGGCCCCGTCGGCTTGGGCAGCCCCAGATCCCTTCTGAGACCGCTGAGAGTTGCAACCCCTGTTGGTGGCAGGGGACAATTTGGGAAAATGATGATTAAAAAAGGAAGCATTTCTACAGCTGTCACTGCGTGCTGGACCCGTCTGCGTGGCCTGCGCGGACCGACACAGGGCGCTGGCTCCGGGAGGCGGGCGGGGCGAAGCCTGTGTGGTCTCAGTGCGCGAGGGGCTACCTTTGCCCTCCGGCTTCATGGAGGTGCACCTGACAGAAAGCATCGTGGGCGTGTAGGGCGTGCAGGTAGTGATGCGGTACCTGCGTACACGGTGACCCGATCGCCCCGGTGGGGCTGGTTAGCACCCCGTCCCCTCACAGGGTTCCATTTGTTAACGTGTGGTGGGAACTTTCAAAATGTACTCTTAGCAACTTATAAACATACAGTACCGTACTGTTAACTGTAGTCACCATGTGGACATTAGATCCCCAGAATTTATTCATTTTATAGCTGGAAGTTTGTACCTTTTGAGAACCTTCACCCATTTCCCCACCACCCAGCCGCTGGCAACCATCAATCTGTTCGCTGTTTCTGTGAATTTGGCCTTTTAATACTCTTATGTGGAAC